GTACCAGTTTAACGTTGAATATTATTTATGATTTCAACTTTATACACAAGTGTCAAAATACTATAATTTACCAATACTGTTTCCCAAGTTACTTTATTTCTGCTTTTATTGTGACTAAGGTTATCTTGTCACCATTCCTAATGTTGAATTGAATATCATTCTTTTATTCACAATTTATTGCGGAATGGTTATATTTCGAGTATCACACGGATTCGAACATGTCTCGCCAGCTCCAAAACCCAGAACTTTACCAAAAAGCCAATCCGTATCCACTTAGTTTTGTACATCTTAGACTGTTCTCTCTCTCATTTTCCAGATTAAAAAAAATTCAGTTAATCACTTCCTTTCTCCGATTAAGTGCTGGAAGACCTTGTTACTGCAATGAAGGGCCAGTCGTAACTTTGTGGTTAGCTTAACAGCCTGTAATCCAGAGTAGCGGTCAAATTCCACTATTAGAATAGAGCAGCTCAAGAGTGGGCAGGGGTGCTGTTGGCTAGCTACCTTCCCTCTAACTTTCAATTAAAAATCGGGGAGGTTAGCCCAGAGAGATTACAAAGAAACAATCAATACTGCTATTATCTGTATGTTCTATATTCCGAGTTTCAAAACACTGCAAGAGTTAAAACTTCAGACCATAGAATAAAAACATTTGTAAATATGTATTTTTGTTTTGCACTTAAAAAATGTTCAATTTGCCAAATACAAAAATATCAGAGAAAGTAGAAAATACAAGTTGAATAAATCTACTTTTATTTGAATAAAAAACTAGATCCTAAAAACCTTGTACAAAAATAGTTTGTTTCTTACAAACATACAACAATAACCTTTATAAAACCATACCCTAGAACACAGTATTCACAATTTAAAAACAATTTATAAAGCTTCTTTTTCTACAACTTTACACAATGTTCCCCATACCAGTTATAAAACCACACCCTGGAACATACTATTCATAGTTTACAACAGTTTATGAAGCTTCTTTTTCTACAACTTTACACAGTGTTCCTCATATATAGCAGTCATGAAAGGACGGAGATTTCCAAACGTACATGTTACAAAGCTGTGGGTAAACAAGATAATGTTAAAATAGATGTTCTGCAGGCAAATGATGGTTTAAAACACGAAACTATTAAAGCGATCTACAGAGATTTTTTACACAAAATCTGAAAGTTTCCGAAAGGAAAGCAATCCAACAATGCGGTGGTGTAAAATGCTGCTTTGTCTTGTGGATCAATGTCATACTTGTTAATATTCTTCAGAAAGCACTTATTACATCATACCATCGTATGTACGTGCATGTTTATACAGTATAAACACATTTATTTAAGGTTTAGGCTACTTTCTATAAGTTATCAAATGTACACTCTAAAATACTATATAAGGTAAATCTTTTTTGTACGATATTGTTTTAAATAAATGCAAAACGTTTCATCAAACCATACCTATCGATTCAGTTCTTTGATCAAAATGCATACTATACTTATGAACGCTGAATATATCATTTTCTATAAAATAAGCAATTATTTGCTCAAAGAAAATATTTAACCTAAACATTTTACGTTAAAATGTCTGGAAAACATGAACAGCTGTAGATAAACATTTTGGATTCTGAAACCAGCTCTTCATACATTTTGTTCTTTCCAGATGGGCTTAGTTAGACAATTTTGATTTCAAATCCAGTTTTTAATACCCTTTCATTGCACCTTAAAAAGAAAGAGAGAGAGAGAAATACTATTTACACTAGGCCTAACTAGCCTCTACTTTTTATTACATTATTTGCACATAGAATCCTCATATTCAGTCATTTTTTGTACAACACTTTATAAATTGCAATACTGATTGAAGGATTTCGACTTTCTCATCAAATAAAAACTTACAGTAGGAGAGAGGAGTTACAAATTTTAAACTTCCCCAATATGTATGTATGTATGTGTGTGTGTATATAAAGGTAATAACTCAGTAGAACATTGATACAAATAAAACTTGTTAATATATGCATGGTTGGTAATCATTTTTCTTCAAAAGCTTAACTGCAACTTTACTGAAATCATGTTAAAAACAAAAACTTTCATGTCCGTGAAAAATAAATTTTACAACAAAATTACAACATTTATTAAAGTTGAGATCCAAGCTACTGGAAATGCTTTCAATTTATAAAATATTCTAAATTTTTAAAAAGAAACTTGAGATCTGAACTTGCAGAACCAGAATATTAATAGTGAGAGATCAAAATAAAAGGCATAAAAATTATTTTTTTTTTTTATAAAATTTGTTTTTTGATACAAGCTGAATATTTTATTACTGTATTCAATATTTCTACTAAAACGTTTTTGTCAGAATTCCTTAATACAAAGTGAGTATTGAAATGTTTCATTCCTATTTTATATTCATAAATCATTATCCAGGAAATTCTGATGTCAACCTGATCCTTTCTTTTATATGATTCTGCTATAACAGCTCACAAGTTAATAGGAAGAACCTTCTTCCCTAACAGATAACAAGAATGTTGTCATGTAAAAATATACAATTCTCTATTAAATAAAGTTTCTACTCAATATGTCATAAGCACCAATTTAGCATCAATGTTTCTTCACACTTAACCAAACACTTGGCAATTACACAAACAACTAATAAGGCCTCATAATAAACTGCAACTTATAGTATTTGTCTTTTCACATGACCCACACACATTTAGTGCAATAACAATTAAAGAAAAAAAAAATAACCATAAAAGAAGTTAATGTGCTAAATTCAAAACACCAGAAAAAGGGCACAAGAATTAGATTATACTGTATATCAATAGATATTAGTTTTAACTAAAACTTTAATCCTGTAACAATGTTTTAATTGTTCAAAAACTAAATCCTGTAACAATGTTTTAATTGTCTAAAAACTAAATCCTGTAACAATGTTTTCAATTGATATTTCTATGATTGTGTGAGCCCTAAGAAACAAACTTTTAAGAAACTTGAACAAATAAGAACGGTCAAATGCAATCTTAAACCCCTGTGGGTAGTAGTTCACTCCAATGTATAAACTTAATATTAATTAACACATATTTTAATATGAGGAAACAAAACCAACTTAACTTGTTTGAATGTGAATTGATGTCATGACTCTTGATAAACTTAAAATATTTAAATCTGTCTTAAAGCATAAAAACACAAAAAAGCACAAGAAAATATATTAAAACAAATACTGAACTTCGTAAGCACATGACTACATATAATCAATGACACTTCTATATGGCATTGATGTCTTTCATACTATTACAAATGGAAAGACAAAGCTTTAAAAATCATTACACACACTACTATGTTTATCCTTATATTTTAAAATATGCATTACTGTTTGAATAAAAGTTTTTATTTTGCAAAGTATTTAAGTTTGTTTATTGTAAAAAAACTCAACACCGAAAAAAAAATTTACAAGTGTTTATTAAGGTACTAAAATATTAATTAAAAATAACTGCTTTCAGGTCAGAAGCAAACAGTAAATAATACAACACAAATCGGAAATTACCGACCACCAACTTGCTATAGAAATGCACTTTCTAAACATCTGATATAAATAAATATACATTATCTAATACATAGGTCCTGTTGGTCAAGTAAAGTTCTCAATGATTCTGCTTCAAAAAAAGTCTCAAATTCATTGTACAAGCCTGGAACAACATTGTAGCAATACACCCACCACACATCATTTTTTATTATGGCCACAGTATCACAATAAATTCAAATATCCATACACAAAGAACACAAATCTATTGCTTACACACGTGGTTCACTAGATAAATACAGCCTCCTGTTGCTGATGTGTATTCTGCTGTGGCTGATGCTGCTCAATAGCTGCTAAGTGGTGCATATTGCTTGGCCCAGTTGGGCTTGACATACCCTCTGACCAGTCACTCTGGGCAGAGTGTGGAGAGGAACTTGACCACTGACCAGGGGATTCTGGTGAAGGAGTCAGGTAAGTCTCAGGAGGATGCAAGTAATGCTGTGGAGTAGCTTCAGAGCTGTGCTGGCTATGTTGTGAAGGTGGAGTGGGATACTGAAAGGGATGTGAATAAGGCACTTGGTGAGAGCCAGGCATAAGAGATTGCTGCCCCAACATTTGCTGAATTTCAGTAATTGTGGGATTGTCATAGATATTGTTGGCACTCTGTTGTTGTGAATGAATCTGTGCGGCTTTCTGGTGGTGGGCTGCTCTCATGGCAGCCATGTGTGTTGGTGATGTTGGTAGTGAGGGACGTTGTTTCATAGGGGCAGAAACCGTGTATGACAAAGATGTTGGAATCTGTGAAACAGTGACACTACTTGGCACAGAATTCTGTCTAGAATGTTGTGGTTTTACATTCTGACTGTTAGCCTGCAAGTATGGATAAATACCCCTATTCATGTACATTTGTCCATTTTGATCTATGCCTCCAATCAGTCCATACAATTGGGAGCTATTATTTACACATTCATTGTAGGGGGGAGGCTGTTTGTTAGGAATACTACGCGTTCCATCCATCCCTGCTAGATTTGGGTGTGACAATGCATTGTAAATAGATGTGTCATGAGGAGATGGGGTGCCATCCAAACAGCTTCCTGTGTGTGGAGCCTCCAGTGAGTTTACTGGAGACAGAGTTATCGAACCATCAATCCCAGGAATAACGAGGGGAGGAGGTTCCTTGCGTTTCTTTACAGATGATTTTCTTCCAATTGCTCCTTCATTATTAGGAGAAATTCCACCACTGCCATCCATCATGGAAGTCAGTCCCATCATATTGTTGATCTTTGGCCTTTTCTTATTCTTGTTGGATCTTGAAGAGCCAAGAACAGTTGGGGGTGGTATCATTGAAGGAGAGTTTGCACCACCAGTTCCTCCTACTGACATGTGTGACATATGAGGACTCTGGGGGACATAATCATTGAGGAGTTGTACAATATCATTGTGCATACGTTCTACAGCAACATCCTTGGGAAGACGATCCATATGATCTGTGATGTCCCGGTTGGCAAAATGCTCGAGAAGAACCTTGGCTGCCTGGTAGCCACCTTCCCGAGCTGCCAGAAATAAAGGAGTCTCTTCTTTATTATCCTGAGCATCCCTATTGGCTCCATGAGTTAGCAACACACGAACAGCATCTACATTGTTGACAGCTGCAGCCCAATGAAGAGCAGTTTTACCTGAAGGCAGAAATTAAAAGACAATCTTAAATCAAAAGTAAATGCGACAATGAGCTTTTGTGACTCACAATGTTTAGCTTATGAAAAGGTTCATGAACACTACTATTTCATTATATTTTACCTACACTCAAATATCCTGTGTAAGTTAGAAAAGACACATTTAACAGAAATCATAGATTATATTTAAAAATACAAGGAACTTTTATGACACACAAAGGAATATTATATTTTTTAAAGTCAGTTTATATGCTAGTAATGTAGCACACTGTTGCATGCTTATATATATACAAGCCAAATATGGATAAAAGTAACAAAGTTGTGCATCTAAAATAAGCATATAAAATGAAAAAGGAGGCTTATTGCATTTTCTCAACACAAGAATACAACCATCGTAACAATTTTACGGTTTAGGTAAACTATTTAAACATCTTTGCCACTAGAATTAATAAAAATTACATGATCCAAACAAAAATACTACAAAATAAAACTTCGGTTATGAAGATACATGAACCAGCCTATCTGTAATAAGATATACATAATTCTTTCAAGTACCCGGGTAACCAATATTTAAATAGAATTTCCTATTTAAAATAAAAATATATAAATACATATTTATAAGTGCATGTAATTTTTTATTAACTAATGAGGTTATCTACCAGTTTCCATAAATTTGCCGTTTAAACTTCAAAAAGAGAAGGATAAACTTGAAGTTTGAAAATATATAAGCCAATATCAACGATTACTTAAAACCTAGATATTATGAAGCTTATAAGTTATTGTTTAAATGCTGAAAGACTGCAAAATATTGGAAAAATCAATGGGCATAAACACTGTTATAAAGATAAGATAACTACAGATGTTGTTATTTTTGTCACATTCCTCTTAATGTGTTCCTCGTGGTTCAAATGTTTAAAAAAAATATCTGCAGTTAACTGTTTTTTTAAACAATTTTCTGGCCTATTGGTTATCATGAAGTTTATATTAATGTGCTGAAACTGAAATACCTTACAGACTCTTACAACAACAACAACACAAAATTTTACCACTATAACAGAAAACAACTTTTACTTGTAAAACAATTTATTAAATATAACTATTAAACTGTACCTTAAAAAGTTACCTTATCATGGAAATCATACTGTTTGTAATACAAGTACGAGAGAGGAATTTATTACAGGTTTACCAAAGCAAACTGTACAAACCTAAATCATCTGCAGCATTAATGTCTGCTTCAGCATTGATTAAGTCTTCAACCATCCCCTCGATGGCTAATCTAGCTGCTAGAATGAGCGGTGTTGTTCCATCATGCATTCGAGAGTTCAGATTTGTAGCCCTGTTTCTCAGCAGTATCTATGAAACGTCATCAATTCTATTTATCGGATACTTCAATCACACTGAATATAAGTCATAAGTATCAAAAACACTGAAGGATATGTTTTAATAAATAAATTTAAAAAATTGTATTGTGCACAACTGTTGAAATAATCAAATATGTACTTATCAACTCAAACACGAGACATCAACACAGACAGTTGAGTAGTACAAAATACTTCACTCTGAATTGTAATATTCTCCTCTCAAAAAACAAAGCATATCTAAGCTATTTTGTAAAGAGAAATGACCGCTACAAGCATTTAAAGGGTTAATACTTAAACCCACTTTAAAAACAAAAACCATTTATATTTATACCTGAAAAACCCCTTGAGCATCTGCAGCTACTGCTGCATGTAAAGGCGTTCGTCCAGTGTTATCCTGCACATTGGCATCAGCACCAGCATCCAAAAGTCTTTTGGCAGCATCGGCACGAGCATATCTGGCTGCAAGATGTAGTGATGTTTCACCTAAAAAGCACAAGAAAAATCATAAATACAAAAATCTTACTTATTCCTATGGTAAAAACATTGTACATTAAAGTATTCTAAATAACTTTGAAATACTTCTGTGAAAACGTTCAGCCATGTGTTTGCAAATATCTATACTCCAGTTGTTATTTAAAAACTAAAAGAACGAGTTTAATTGTGTGTGTAGGGGGGGGGTAACATTTATTATCAACATACTGACAGTATGTAATGATTGAAGATATTTAAATATTGGTTATGATATACCTGTACGATCAGTGACCATGTTGATCTTGGCACCTTGTGACAACAAGTCCTGAATCATGCTAGCTGATGTGTCATCTTCCTCAGCATCATCCACAGAATCTTGAACACCACCACGGAATGATGCTAACATCAGTGGTGTGAGGCCACCTGCAATCAATGCAGAATAAAAAAATTATAAAAAGTATTTTAAAACTGGACTAGGATGACTGAAGAACACTGCATATTAACCTAGACAAACAAGTTATTATTGTGACTAAAACTCATTAAGGTCGATAAATGAGTTGCATCATCGATGTGGAGTATAAGGGGTTATCTCCCAAGTGCAATAAAATTAAAACACAATTCCAATAATAACAACTGCAACAGTTTCAACCAGTTTAACCATTAGTCAAAACTATAAAAGATTATTATTTAGGCTAATAAAATGAGGTTATAATAAGAATTCCCTATACATTTTAAATTCTCTAACAGATTTTACAATCAATTTAATTACATATATACAAAAGCATAAAGGTTCCATATATCTGAGCCTTATTAATATGAATAGATACATACATATTTATTTTTCAATAATAAACCAAAGAAGTTTCTTTTATGCTTAGTAATATTTTCACTGCACTAAAATAACAGGTTATTTTTCAATCTTAATAGCACACATGTAGCAGGACTCGTACTTTTTAGTTAAGTGCAGAACTAAACTTAAACAAACCTGGCCCACAAACATCTACATTCCCTGGTTCTAGTTCTTCTACTTGAGGAGGGGTGAGTGCAAGAACATCAGGATTTCTGACATCAGCTGCATCCAGATGCTGTTGTGTCCACCTTCGTGGGTCAGTGTCATCAAATTCTGTGGCTGGCACATCATTGTGTAAATCCCCATAACTGGGATCAGGCGAGTGGAAACTCTTCATTCGTTTCATGGGTGGCTGATCCCCAATGTCGTCATCACCCCATCCTGATATGCCTGGAGGCATTGTATTGTTGGCATTAGAATCAACATCCACTCTCTGGGCAGATGCCTGTTTTTGTAGGTTTCTGTACAATAAAAAATTGTACTGTATCAGTCTTACAAATAGTATGAATTAACAATTATCTTAAAAATCTACATAATTACAGAACAATGCAAAAGCTTGTTTGTACTTAATAATAAAATCACAAAATATAATAAACTATGAAAATAAACAATCTAGTTTTATATTTCTTATGTAATACTGATTTCTAACAATAAGAAATCCTTTTTCAGTAAATTACAATTTTAGGGTACAACTGCCTTGTAAACAAATCTTGAAAGAAAGAAATAAAAAGGAAAAAGAAGAAAAACTTAAAAATATAAAAACAAATAAATAATTAATCCTCAACTATTCACTTCATTAATGATTCAAAGCAACCAACTCTGAATGTGTAGGTTTCAAAATACAATTATTTTTACAGACCTCATTTCCTGACCATCGGGGCCTCTTCTCCGGGACTGGCGATGTTGTCCTGAGCTGGTTTTCAAGAATCCTTCTGGAAACCATGTTATACCACTGGCACGCTTCCTTTGTGCTACAAGAACACCAATGAACAGTCCTAGCAAGATGATAACAATCACACCAATAACAACATATGTCATGTTAGGATATATATTAGTGCTGGTATCTGTGGACTCACTGTCCATTGAGCTCTTTATAGCTTTGATATTGAAGGGTGTATCCAAGACATTCCTTGACTGGGATGCAGCCAGAAACTTTGCAGCCTGAAACAATACACAATGCAACAAAAGAGAATGAGCAACAGAATAGCAATGCCATTTTCCAAAAAAAAAAAAAAACAATTTCTCCACTAAACATCTTTTATATAATTTTCCAACTTTAAGAAAGTCGTTCAATGATTATACTTAAAGCTTCAGTAAAACCTTGTTATAATGGCATAGTTTGAAGATTAACTTATGATAATTTTATTGTAAATTTGTGTATTTTGGAAATGAACTACATTACATTCTTCTTAGTAAGATTACAATGTGCAAACTCATAATAAGAATAGTTATTTTAACAATTTGAAATATCAGAGCCAAAGATATGATTCAAGTTGATTGAGTTCCAGTAAAGAAATATAAAATCATTTGTTACAGAGTGAGAGTCACAGAAGTCATTTACGTGTATATCATCAACAACAGCAAAATAATAATAAAAGAATAAACAATAACTGTGGTAAAACTACTAAACAAAACTTAAATCATTTTGTGCAAGAAAACTCCTATTGCTGCCTGTTGTTGTTAATGTCAGTGCCTATGAATTCCAACTGACTGTGTCAGTTGTTGGGCTCCTTTCACTATACATGCTTCATAAGCCCTTGAACTAAAGCACAAGATTTTTACCTCTTTGGCTGACTGGAAACATTCACTATAGGATGTCCTAACACATCGTCGATTGTCAATCTCCACATACACTTTAGTTCTAGACAGAAATAACGAAAAATAAGTTTCAACAACATTACAAAACAAAATTAAACATACACAGGCATAAAAAAGTTACTACCAACAAAATATGGAGTCTTGGTAACCAATCTACAATAACTAAAGTTAAGAAAAAAACAAGATCTTCTAATTGAAAAACAATCTGACTTAATCACTAGGTATCATAAATAGGAAAACGATTTGCGTTATGGATTAATCTTATCATATATTTTAAGTAATTGTAAAAATGGAAGATATAGCATTCTAAAATAGAATGCTATTCATGTTATATTTATTTTTAAAACAGAATGCTATTTAAATCTCATTTCTTTTACCAAATATTTCAAATGACTAAAGGTCATATGTTACAATTTGAAAATAATCATTCTACATTCACAATGTTCTAGCCTTTCAATATTCTTTAAAGATTCCAAACATCAGAAAGGTCAAATACAGTGATAAGGCTAACTTAAATCTTTACTGAAAAATCTAATAATAACAGGAAAGGAAATTTTTATTACACAACAAAAAAATACAAAATTTTTAAATGTTAGGATCCTACAAATAATGGTGGTCACATTTACCCCAGTATAATTATTCTCTACGTTTCCTGATTTGATTTTTTTTATCTTACATAACAAAACACTCAGCTTTTAATCAGTGCATGCAGGCATGGATAAACAATAACTATCCATACTTTTGTTTTACACAATTTCTACAATAAAATTTCTTAAAAACTTCTATCTTTTACCAGACTTGTGACCATTCTTTTGAACAACAATTATTTTAATAACCTATCAAATTCTTGAAACTGAAAATAACTAAAATTCAACAACAACAACATACCCAACAAATGCTTTTGGGTCAAAAGAGCTCGAGTTTCCTCCATCTTTGGGTTGCAATGGATAGATCATTGGGTTTCTCTTATTATCTGTTTTAATTTTGACATTTGTTCTCAAGGCATAACCCAAATCCCTTACAAATAGCTTATAGTTGTTTTGGAATTCCTATATCAGTAAACAACAATCATGCATCAGATCTGGCAATATTAATTCTTGTTTATTTATGTTCAAATAAAATAATCATTATACAAAACCATAATAGTAATGAACAAAGCTAAGTCTATGTTGTTAGTACATAAATCAGTATAAAAACTTGTATGGATGAGCAATGTTCCATTAATGAATCTCATTTTAATACACAAATGATTAAATAAACTCTTTTTGTTAATAAACAAAATATTATAAACACTAGTATAGATGACTAATACAGAATACTGATAAACTTCCACCTGTATTGGAACTTTCAAATGAAACTATGAAGTTTAAATTTTTTTAAATAAAATGAAATATGAAAGATGTATATTATCACAGTTCTATGAAGTAGGAAATGTGGTAAATTAATGAAAACAATATCTTTTATACAGAACTTATTTATAATCAAAATCCCAAGTTAGTTGACATTTGGGAAATAGTTTTATGTTACCTTAATAGTGCATACATTATCCAGCAGCTATACACTACCAAAAAAAGATGGTGTATTATTAAGCAGTTTTTTTTCTTTTTGTATATTACCAATTTCGGTCATCATGACCTCACAATTTTAATTTATTTCAATTTGAAGACACCATTCATATTGCTTTGTTTCTTTCAAAAATCTAAACAACAATAGCATCTTTCATTAAAACGAGTACTTTTAACACATTTCTAGCAAACAAATCCAGTTCTAATTCTAAAATTAAAAGTAATATTGCCCTACAAGCCCTAACTTACCACAAAATCTATTGAGAGAATTAAAATGAGAGTTCCATCAGCCAAACGTGGAGAATCTGTCTCACAATCAAGTCCATCCCAATTACATTCTTCATTGTTGCACCCATAGTCGCAGTAACCATTCCCATAATTACGAAGACAATAGGAATCATACAGTTCACTATAAAAATAAAAATTTAGATTCAAAATATATATTTCACAACAGACAGTTTCAAATACAATGACAAGACTTATAATGGCTGAAGATGGCTTGAATGGGTAATGAAGAAAAACTTTAATATAAGTTTAGCATAACAGCAAATGTACAACGTTTCGACAAGGTTTTGTCATCATCAGACAAGACTTGTTTTAGTGACTGTTGCTCCTACACGATGTTCTCAAAAGTAAGCAATTTATAAATGTTTACTTATATTTACACTTCATATAAAATTTTATTTCTAAAAAGTGATGAACAGTTGTTAACTGTGCTATTTCAAAGCTTTTATTTAATTCTTGATTTTGTATAGAAGCTTCCAATGTTTTAACGTTGTTTTTGCCAACACAGAATTAAGTTTAAGTAGCAGTTCTTGTCTTTTAGGTTACATTTTCACTTCATTAGAAAAATATCAGTCACCATAATGAGATCATTAAATTAAACTTGATTTTAAGAATTTAAAAAAAAGAGCAAACCATGTCCACAATTCTTTAGTGCAGAACTGGCTGTTCCTACCATGTAACATGATTACAAGTCTTAATGGAAACTTAAGTTGTTAAAGAGAAACAGAAGAAATACAAAATAAAATAATAACTTGAATTTAGTTCTTAAAAGTTAGAGTCACACAGTAATCACAAGTACATTAAAATAACAACAACAGAAAAATTATTTCAAGTTAGTTGATAAATATAAGTGAAAATTACCTTAGCCCTGATAACTAATAAATATGAATTTTATTCTGATAGCTGGCATAAAAAAATTAAGATTTTTTTATGAAAAACACGAATACATTAAAGTTCTTTTTATTCCTAACAACGATTTTGTTTTTCTTCCTTTTATTGTTGAACTTATCAATAATAAATATCTCAGAATCAATATACATGATCCTTTCATATAATTTTGAAAAAGTAATGCAGAAAAATATCACCTTCAGCCATCAAATGTTATGCATACATTGTATAAAAGAATCATCTTTGAATCGATGTAGTACAGTTGATAAAATTAAAACACATAATTAAAATGCTTCAAATATTTAACTATATTCTATATTTATCAGTTTTCCATAAAAATTTATTTCATCCTATCTCTTAAAGGGTGGGTTGGTTTGCACTTACTTGCAGGATGGTAGTTCTTGTGTGCAATCAAAACCATCAAAGAGACAATCCAAGTTGTTGCACTCAGCATTACACTCCCCATTACGAAAGACATCCCAACAACTAATGGCTGCTGTACAGTTAATCCATGGATTAATTCCTGAAATATACATATATGATTAGTAATACAGTATTGTGGAATAACAAAATTCAGTTACGTACTTTACTATATGCATATAATTAGTAATACAGTATTTCTGCTATAAACTTAAATATAGGAAATCAAATAATGTGTAGATTGTTTCTGAAACACTTGAAAATTAATGACCAGTGGAAATAGAAATATCAGCCAGCTTTATGTCTGTACATTTTTTATTATTTAGCTAAACTAACACTTATAAAACCACATCTTACAAAAGAAACAGGAAAACTGGTATTTCTTTAATATCTATCGTAATCACAGAAAATACGAATAAAATAATAACTATTTTCTTCCTATAAAGAAAGATTTCTGTTTTTACTCTTCCCTCTACACACAAACACACAAGTACATACTGTTCATTCTCAATGAATCAGTAATATTTTGAGTATATGTAATTTCTATGTAAATTTCACATTTCTCCTTTTTGTTTATTAGTTTAAAAATAATTAAGTATGAACTGTTTTATAGATTTATACAAAAAGAACTTCCTTTATCGATTGTACAGTTTCAATATATAATTATCTTGCCCTTCCCTATGACTAAACTGGTTAAAAGCCTTGTCCCTCTTGTTGCAATTCAATCAAAATGTGGTGATTTGGGTGATACTTATAACTGGATCTGTTTTAGGAGTATTACATTTAACTTACAACATGAAGATATCCTATTTCACGATTATAAAAGCATGCAAGGCAAAAAAATTTCAGTGTTTTGATGAAAATGATATCTGTAATGTTGAACCATATCAGTAAAGTAAAGGAAAGCATCACTCGGCAGGGAAAAATCACATTATGCTATGATCAGCTACCGAAAGTAGTGAAGCAAGTCAGATGAGCACCTAATCACCAAACCACACAAGGCTCCAAAAGAAGAAGAGAGAGAGATGACACACTACTGCATACAGAACACAATATAAAATATTTGGTTATACTTGTAAACAACTACAAACAATTATTGTGTTTGAAATACACTTTAAAATTGGTTTGAATCAGATATTTGTACAAAGTTACATACAGGCCACTTGCTCTAGCCACTCCTAATTTTGAACAGGTTACAGGAAAGGTAGCTTAGTAAACAGCACCCACCTACCATTAACTCACGGACACTAAACAAATGTGTGTTTTGACCTTCGCTCTAATAATGCACCCATAACTCCAACATGCAGAGCGAGATTTTGCCAGAATAGGATGTAAACCATGGACACTTGGATTCACAATACAGCATGCTAACAAAAGGTTCCACTCAGCGCACAATATAAAACATCTAAAGTAATCTTAGTATGTATGAATTATAATTTCAGAGAATTTTTCCATTTTTGAAATTCCCATTAAGTTTTATATCATTGCATGTGTTGTTCCACATAGAAATTTTCAAGGTAATAAAATATGTGAAAGCACATGGTGAACTGTGTTATTGGTTCTGCTACAGATGATATCTGAAATTCATAAAATCCATCTCAACATAAGTTTTATAAAGTTTTTCAGACTTATACTTCTTAAGATCATTTATTTCGCAACATACTGGTCAGAGAAGAGATCATATGGTCCAACCTCGAATCATATTATTCTGTTTAAAAGATTCCCAGAACTGGTTGCAGACAATGAATGATAAACATTGGATGTTGAAGGCTTGAACACATAATTAATGTGAATTCTAAATTCAAATTTCATCTTCATTCCAAATGTGAAACTAGCAAACACAGGTCAAGTCTGAGATACGAACTGTTCTTCTATCTTTACTATGTATATTATATACCCAAGTTTTTATTTGTCTAAGATGACGGATCTAGTTTTGTAGCCTAGCTGTGTTAATTTATATACATGTATACTTAAGTGAATTTCTTACCTAAAGAACAGTCACCACCATCAAAATTGCATGCATAACTATTGCACTCATCATCACAGTGTCTATCTCCAGCCTTCTTTTTACATCTGTTCAGCTCACATTGTTTCACTTTATCTGTAGATTTTAATAACATATGAATATCACTATAAAATACTTAAGATTTGACAATTCTTTCAGGTAAATCCACATTTAACTATATGTATTTCACAAAAATTTTAAAATAATAAGCAAACACAATAAAGAATTAACATATGAAGATTTATATTCCCATTCTTTCAGTCACTTACACTCAGTATTACGTATGAATGCATACATAAACAGGTGAAAATTAGAGACCAGGTATGGTGCAACAACTGACCAAATAGTTTCACAGAAATCTCATTTCAGAAGTTTTCATGATTTGTTGTTGATACATAGCTAATACAAACATGTTTTGATACACCCCACCAAATCTTCTCTGAATCCATGATTTGTTGTTGACACATAGCTAATATAAACACATTTTAATATACCCCACCAAATCTTCTCTGACTCCATAATTTGTTACTGATACATAGCTAACATAAACATGTTTTAATACACCCCACCAAATCTCTGAATCTACGATTTGTTATTGACACATAGCTAACATAAACATGTTTTAATACACCCCACCAAATCTCTGAATCTACGATTTGTTATTGACACATAGCTAACATAAACATATTTTAATACACCCCACCAAATCTTCTCTGACTCCATGATTTGTTAATGACACATAGCAAACATAAACATATTTTAATAAACCCCACCAAATCTTCTCTGAATCCATGATTTGTTGTTCACACATAGCTAACATAAACATTTTAAGACACTCCATCAAACTTCTCTGAGATGCAAATAAAATGAAAGGATGCCATCATTTAAGGGATAAAGGAGTCACTTCCCAGTGCATGTTAACTAAGTATGCATCTTACCACTGACAGAATTTTGTATTAATTATACTAAATTGTTTTCATACTTTAAGGAGCAAAATACTTTCCATATTTTCTTGACTTTTTTAAAAGTATTTATCAAAATTATTAAAATCATGGTTAATTAGTACACTCAGCTTAATTGTCAGCCTTCAAGACTAAATGACAAGATATTAGAATTTTGTGGGTAAATTTTTTTAAACGGACATGACAAAGGGAAGGACCATCTAGAAATGGTAGCTTCATATGCAGTCTTCATTTAAAAAATGATGACTTCAGAAATTGTAAATGGACAGAGCTAGGTTTTGCCAAAAACAAAAAGAAGAAGCAAATCTAAGGCTAAGTGTTACATGAGTTGGTAGTGGCACTGAAGTCTGTGATCATTCTGTCATCAGGAAATGTGATATTCATAGTGTTTATCTTTTGTGTATATCAAAAATATTGATATGACCAATCTGTTAAAATAATCACAATGAACTTCATTTATAACAATTATCTTAATTCAAATTAGAACACAATCTTTTATTCAAGATTTGCAAGAGTATTTAAATCATTTGATTTACACAAGTTAAATACTTTTTATAACTTACAAAGAAATATTTAGAAAATTAATTCTTGGGATAATCTGCTAAGCAACTAAAATTTTCTGAGTACATTTGGTCTTTTATTTGTTTGTTTGTTTTGAAGTTAAGCACAAAGCTACACAATGGGCTATATGTGCTCTGCCCACCACGAGTATCAAAACCCGGTTTCTACCATTGTAAGTCCGTAGACATACTGCTGTGCCACTGGGGGGGCATTTGGTTTTTTTTAGTATGAATTAACTATGTTATCTAGTAAGTATACAAATACTTCTTAAAGTCTCTTGCTGGTTTTCTGAAAGTTATCAAAAGTATATTTTAAAGGTCAGTTGATTGATTTTATCAGTGTCCCTGTGTTTCACCCCTGGTTATATTATGTAACATGGTTAACAAGCACCCTAGGTTTCTAAAAAAATGTAAATGTTTAAGATTTGGAAAAAAAGCTACTGGATCCATATGAATTGTTACTAAAACCCAATTTTCATCCTTCACACAATTTAGAAAGCATCGTTATCAAAATCAGACATTTTTTTCAACACATATAGTGAAATGAAGATCAAAATAAAAGTAAAAAAACTTTAGCTAGATGATGAAAAACATTAAACTATGAACAAATTACTAGAAACTTTCTAAGAATAACAAAAAATGTAGTATGTACAACATAGAATAATTTTTGTTTTAGTCAGTTATTTCAAAATCTTGCAATTTGTAAGTTTCACATCTATCTTTTTTTTTGTTCAAAAATAGTTAAATATAGTGATAATTATAGGATCAGAATTATATATTTTGGAATAAAGAAAAGGTAGGCTTAAATCTTGTTACTTCTTTTAGAAACTCATAGTTGGAATAATTATTTGCGTGATAGCATTTTTAAATTGCATTACAATTGCTTCCCTGAAGATGCTTTCATACTTACACATCATCTCAACTTAATATCTCATAAATGACCAATATAAATGAGTGTTTCATCTATAACTGTGAATGTGGCAACCACTAATAGAATATTAACATTGTTATTAAACTAAAATGTCTCATCATCTAAGTCTTTAACAGGCAAAATTTAGAAGAAATATTCTTACAGAACTTTCCTCATTGGAACCTACATTTCACAAATAAGGGAAAAAAGTGCTAAGAAATATTTCAATGCAATGTATACATACTATAACTATAAAAGCATTTTTACCTATTCTATCAATGGAAGTAGCATCCTTTTGACAGAGAGGTGACAAACATTCACCATCATTAATTGTTTCACAATGTTTTCCAGTTGTGGCTCGAGGACATAAACAAGTATAGCCTCCTCGTCTTGGACGACATTGACCTCCATTCAAACAAGGGTTACTTACACAAGTGGTGTTGGTCAAACCACAATTCTCACCCCAGAATCCCTAAAGGTGCACACGAGTAACAAAAAATCATGTAACTTTGTGTTAACTGACACTATTATTTAAAATGAAAACAAAATAACGATAATGATTTTTTTTTCTAGAAACCATAAAGATGATGCCTTACCACTGAATGCACATGAAACATAAAAATATGATGAAGGTCATTTTACCAGGTCACATAAATTTCTGTTAACAATTCAAATGTAAAACAATAGCAAAATAAAGCACAGGATATATACATTTTAATAGAAAGCTGTAACTGGTGATGACTGTAAAATAATGTGACACTCTTATACTGGAAAACATAATTCTGCATAATACATACAGTATTCTATGCCAATGAAATCATTTAACACCCTTTAAACTAAAGCTACAATAACACAATGTTTTTATAAAATTACAGTTTAAAAGGTATTTTAAGGATCAAATTGACTACACACACTCATAAAACACAAGGAATTATTCACCTCAGGGCAGACACATGTATGACCTGACTGTGTACTGCTACATATTCCTCCATTAAGACATGGATTGGAAGCACAAAAGTTCACTTTGGTTTCACAGTGACGACCCATAAATCCAGGCTTACATTCACAACGGAAGTCATTGATTAACTGAACACAGTCCTGTGTACCAGGACTTGTACAAGGATTAGAAAGGCACTCATTGACATCACCTTCACATCTGACGAAATGAGAACAATATAACACAAGTCACAATAACATAAATCTTACAGAAGCTATGTTTTAACTGGAGTATTATATATATGATTAAGCATGAGTTACTTTAACATTTGTTTATTCTTTTTTTGAAGATCAAGATTATTTTAAAGTTTTTGCCTGCAAACAGAAGTATAGCTTATGATTATTTTAAGAAAAAATAATTAAAATCCATAGTTTTTTAAATTATAATTAAAAAAGATTAAGAAAAGAAATATACATATAATAACTTGTATATATAATAATGCATCATTCTCATCACTTTTTAGTTTTTTGTAACATTTGACTGGTATTAGTAAATTCTTGTGGAAATTGTAACAGCAAGAATAGTTTTATTGACAGAAAATTAATTCCGAAGATTTCCTTAAATTATTCAACACTGTAAATCTCCATACTATTAAACATAATTTAAGTCTAGAACTTTTAATACTTAAAATTCATTAACAATTTGGTGAGACTGGTATGTTAACTGTTTCAATCCCTTTCAGCCTACCCAAGTTTCTAATCTACTCTCTTCTCTTACCTTGGTCCCACAAAACCTGGTGGACATTTACATTCATAATGTCCAACTTCATCTATACATGTACCACCATGGTGACAGGCACCTTCAAAACACTCATTGATATTGATTTCACAAAGAATTCCCACAGTGCCATGAGGACAGGAACACATGAATTTGTTGATTAAATCATGACAAGTACCTCCAAACAGACAAGGATTTGGGTCACAATCATCTATGTTAAATTCACAATTCACACCTGTCAAAGCAAGAAAAATCATTTTAAGAATTCTAATTTTGAAAGAAAAGTAATAAGAATGTGAACATTAAAAACAAAAAACTTAACTTGTTTTAAACAGTTTTGACAGTAAATCATTAATATAGACTGCTAAACTTATTTCTATCTTGCAAGGAATGTGAATAACATTTTACAGATACTTTAACTATTTACATATCAGCAAATTATTCTTCACACACATATTTGTTTTTAGACAAAGCAAATGTTTAACTACTAACTCAAAATATTGTGATTTATTTAACAAAGGCTCAAAAGCATATTACAACACACAGATTACACTATAAAATTTCTTTTTCAGAAAAGGTAGTCAAATATATATGCTCTAATTATTGCCAATATTTAGAATATGTTTGACTACTACAAAAACTAAAACAAATTGCTTGGCAATTCTCCAATGTATAAACACTCAACAAACAAACAGCTTATCTAAATAACAACACCCAAATAACATTCTATAGTCAATAACACATCTTACCTTGAAAACCAGGTTGGCAAGCACAAGTATACTGTCCGATTAAATCATTACATGTTGCATTGTTCTGACACGGTTGAGAAGCACATTCATTAATTTCATGCTGACAGTAGCTTCCTTCATATCCCTCAGGACAGATACACTGATGGCTATTGCCGATATTCTCACACGTGCCACCATTTTTACATAGGTCTGAAACTTCAATACCTTGTAGAAGAATAACACACTAATGATGAGTAATGCTCTCACATAACATAAAATAATAAAAAAATACTGACAATATAATGTAAATTTATTGTATTTGTTACTAGAGCTTTATGAGGAAAATACAACCCAAATGCTTTCAAATTTAACACTTATAATGAAAATAATAACAGAAAACTTCTGAAAACTTTAAAAATGTATAAGTGTACACAAAATCATTACAACATTTTTTTAATTACTATACAAAAAGGAAAGCCTTTAATTTACCTTTTTGTGAGGCAGCAACTGTACAAGACACCATAGATACATCGCACAACATTCCTGTCCAACCAGGACTGCATGTACAGCGGTATGTATTATTGCTTTGTTTGCAAGTAGCACCATTCATACATGGATTGGTGCTGCACCAATCAACAAAAGTCTGTAAAAAATGTAAACTTATAAGGAAATTGTTTTTGCTTTATCAGTTTAACATGAGGACGTAAGATTAATCTAAATCATATAAGCTGCCCAAACCTTGAGATATTATTGTGATTATGGCTGAAGATGCCAGTGACAGAAAGGGTACCACCAGTGATGAATTAACACATTCTAATCATTACAAGTTAGTTGTTTTATAACTTTTTTTTTCACATCCACATAAATGTAGATAACATGAAAGTGTGCAACTTCACCAAGAAAAACTAGCATGACTAAAATTTAAATCAATAAAAACAAACCCTCCACGATTTAGTCTGTTTAGTTTTCTTGAATTTCAAAAACAATTACTCATTATATCTGTCTACTAAACTTATAATTTGCAGATAAAACATAATGGTTTAGTATGTCCTAAAAAAAAGTATTTATATCAAACTAGAATTATTAGAATTTTTATTAAACTAAAATGGTGCTTACAAAAATTATCCAGATATTCTTTGTTATCTCTCAGTTAAGTAAATAAAAAGTAACATGATCCTGTATAGCAAGTTTGTGGGAAGTCTCTGAATAAAACTTGTACAATCAGATATGTCTACTAACTAATAAAAGGACTTGGAACATAACAACAATTATATTTAAGTCTCAAGTCAATAGTGCTATACTATTCTTTGTTTATCTCCCATGGAACTATTTTACGGACTAGAAACAAACCTGATATCTAACCTCCAAATAAGGCTAATGGAGTTACATCGGTTTACTAAGCATTTCTTTTGTAAAAAAATGATACAATTCAATTTGCTTACATACCACAAGAAGTAACCAATAAAGTAAAAATGATTAGATTTATCTCCTAACCAAACCTACCTAATTCTATGAAAGACAATCTGCCTAATAAGAAGTATGTAAATATAGTTAATCAGCATATACACTGAGAAACTAAATTAAACACTTATGATCTACATTTGTTAATGCTACAAGAAAGGTCTCAATAATTGTTTAATAAAGCTGCTTATGATTAAGTTATAAAAAAAAAGTTACAAAAATATCATGATCAAAATTGCTAGTTTAACGAGTACCAAGAAAGAGTTGAGGATAAAAAAATCTTTCAGTTAACCTCAGTCTCTAAATAAATAATCTGATTCAGTACAACCAATGATTATTATTTACTCTTATGAATCCTACTGAACATCAGCATGACTACATCAAGTTATGAAAGTTCACCTGTTAAGTTTACATAAAAATGTTAATTCTGCCTACCTCACAACGAATCCCAGTGAATCCAAAGGGACAGTGACAGGTGTAAAAACCCACATGGTCAACACAGGTGGCTCCATTGGAACAAGGCTGTGAATCACATTCATTAATGTGAAACTGGCAGTTGAATCCAGTGTAGCCTACTGAACAGTGACAAGTGTAGGTGTTGATTTCATCGATACAGGTTCCACCATTCATACATGAGCTACAAGAGAGAAATTCTATTGTACATACAATCTATTTAAATGAATAACAGCTAAATCAACAGTGAAATGCCATTTCATTCAACTGAAATGAAAGGACCACAATAACTTAATTCACCTGCTGACTAATTCTGATCACACCTTTTAACTTCTTAATGAAATTCGTAACATTTGATCAGTCTTTTAAACTACAAAATAAATTAAATTAGACCATGATAAACTACTAGCTTAGTAGGTAATTCTAGTACTGAATTACCTAAGATAGGTATTCACCTTGGAAGGCTTTCACTCTTTCAATTTTAGCAAGTTTACACTTGAGAAAAAAATCTCAGGTATGGGCTAAAAAATTCAAAAGCTACAATATATTAAATCTTTAAAAAAAAACTGTAGTATTGAACGCTTAAAGATACTATGGATTGCACAGTGACTCTAAATTTTAAAGCTTATGTTTAATATTAGTAGAACAAAATTTCTAATTTCTAACAGATAACAGTTTTAAACGACAAGTAATCTACATTTCTGAAGTCTTTTTCACAAGTTCACCTGCTGTAGCAATCCTCAATAACATATGTTGATCAAAGTGTAGATTGAACTGGACCTCCCTTGAACTTGGACTTTGAGATTAAACAATTCTCAAAATACTAAGTTTATTTATTATAATCCTTTAAGAGTAAAAGAGTTGAAAAAGCTAAATACAAAATCAATGTCTACCAACGTCTTTTTCCCAGATAGCTTATGACTTCTGCAACATTACTCTTGAGTCGAACTTCAGCATCAAAGTAATCAAAATCAAATAGTTCTATAACATTGCCAAACTTATTTAGATAATCAACCCTTTGGTACTGGTAGATAAAAGTGTGCATGTCATGATCTTCTTACAGTTACATTCAAAACTGAATTACTTTATTATCAATGCGTCAATAAACGAGGCATCAAAACATATTCAAATATGATTTATTAACTACAAATTTTAATTTCTTTACTTCAAAAGGAAATATTTAAATAAAACCCCAAGCTTCACTTTTGTGCATTATGACACTTGAAATTGAACAATTTAGATAATCTTTCCACTCCTATCTGGGTTCTGAGTTTTAATGCAAATTATAGAATTAAACTATCTTTACTGCTAAGATACAATCTAATTTTATAGCCTCCAGTAATCTTGTTTTACTTAGATATAAACCAGAAAGTCAAGTCCATATGCCATGGCCCTCCTATCACATACTATTTTACAAAAATGTCAGTATTCTCTGTTTGCTATTACATTGTTTATAACCAATATAGAGAGAGATTTTAACTTATTGATTTATGTATAACGCTAGCTCATTCTCATCAGAGATTTCAGATTATTCAGCATACAGATTCAAAGTTGTTATCATTGAGTTCAGCTCCACTAGCTAAAGGAATTATTTTAGAGCACATATTACTTATGTTCTAAATTGAATATATGAAATAAATAAAATTTCAATCAAGTACTAAAAACAACCTTAGGAAAATTAGGGTTACTTTTTTATCAATACTTCTGAGTGTTCAACTACAAGAAAAGTTTAAGACCCACATGTAAGTATTACATTTCTTGATGTTTTTTTTATGTATATTTTTTATTTGTTACTATAAAAGTAACTAAAATGTAAAAATTAGAAACTTATTAGGTTAGATAATAAAACATTAACAAAAAAAAAAGAATTTCTCCTCAAGGTATGCAAATAAGAAGCTTGTGTGTCACATAATTTGATACTATAACTTGAGTGATTTCTAGCTTGTTATGCAAATTTAGTAGTTAGACATGGTTCAAAGAGGAATAAAAATAAAATTAAACAAAAACAGATATATATAACTTGTTACAAGCTTGAGGCTGTCTAGGATAAATAATTGTAATTTTCTTTTATAACATTCAGTAATTCTTGAAAGAAAAAAGGGTAATTTTAGATTTAATTTATATTTTTTTGCATTGGTTATAAGACTGGTCAAAAGGGCTAAACCAATACAGTAATAGTGTAAAGAAAATAACAGACAAAACATAGTTTTACTGAGAAAAACTTATATTCATTAAGGAGGTATTAGAGGCTATGCAAATAAAATCTGCAAATTGTAGGATGAAGAAAAATGTTTTTAATCTTAACATGAAAATTACATTGCATTCAGACTTGTCAGAGACTGATTCCATAAATTCAGAGACAAATCTTTAGTAAAAATGCTTGATTAAAAAATCAGATTTTTTTAGTACAAAACACTTGTATTGTTTACTAAATGTTTACCAAATTTCATGAAAATACACTTACTATATTGCAAAGTCATTGTACGTATTATTTCATGGTTACATGATGATCGCAAAATTGGTCAAAATGACCAAGCCCACACAGAGAGGATTAATGCTATCTAGCTTTGCTATGAGTGTAATAAATGTATTAAAGAAAACATTTAATCAAAGCTCACTCACTGCAATTATAAAAGTACTTTTTTTCATTAAGTAAAGATACTGGAGCTGACAATCATTCAAAATAAAGAATTTCTGCCACTTAATAAAATATTACATTTCAATTTTTAAGTCTTATTCCAAACAAGTAAGATGAAAAATAAATTAAAAAACGTTAATTATTTCATGTTAAAAGCATCTATTAACAAGTTCTACAAAACATTTCTTTATGTGATAACAGTACATGTATACAAAATTTAATGAAATCATATACAAATATTTATGACTACATGTCACATGCTCTTTTTGTAAACTCTGGCAAAAAAAGTTAAGTTTTATCTATTTCATTCATCCCAATTTTAGTTCTAAACAGAGGTACTTATTTGAAAAACTAATTCAAAATATTGATTACTACATTATAATACTATAAAGAATAGATTATTTGAAATGTGTCATATAAATAATTTCATCTTACTAAAATTAGTGTTTGGTAACAAAGTAAAAGTTTACCTTGATGTGCAGTCTTCATCATTGGTCTGACAGTTTGTACCACTAAAGCCCAGCAGACAAGTGCATGTATAGCTATTGACATAGTCATTACAAGTAGCCCCATTCTGGCAAGGATTACTGGCACATTCATCTATGTCACTTTCACAATTTTTACCTCCGAATCCTTCCACACAAACACATGTATACTCCCCAACACCATCCAGACATGATCCTCCATTCTGACATGGATCTATCAGTAAACAGTAAAATCAGTCAGAACAACAGAAACTTATAAAATGACTTTATTCAAAACATTCAAAAACTCAGTACTGGTTTCCTGTATATTATGCCTTTGTATCTAATTTAATTCTCTTGTATATGTAAAATATAATTACAGTACAGGTAATTTCATCTCTCCTATGTACACACATTGCCACACTGTACAACTTAAGTGACACACCTTGAGATTTTATTTTGCATTTTGTATTTACTTACTGCACTACACTGAAATTTGTTTATTTACTACAGCTGCTTTTACGTACACTGTCTATACATGTCAATTCCTTGTTTATGTCCACTAACTTTTCATGTTAAATATTTTTTTTATCACCTATGTAAAAACAAGTACTCAGAAAAATTAAGTTTCAAGGAATAATTGTTATTTTTTTTTTAAATCCTCAATGTTAATGGTTGCTTTAAAGCTCCTATAATACAAAATACAGGTTTTATTCAACTTGCCCTGATATACAAGAAAGTCACTAAGATATTATGGTAAAATTTTTCTAATATTTTAAAAACATTACAACTTAAGCAAAAAAATTAAATTACTTAATTAAAAAAAACAAAAAACCACAAGCTAAAAATAGTATCCTAAGCCAAAATATGTTTTCCACTAAAGAGCATTTAACTGCTGCTATTGGTGATATCAAATTAACAAAAGAAATTCTATGCCATTTTTTGAAACTATTTCTTTTATTCACAAATGAATGAAAAAGTTAGAATAACCATTTAACAGTTCCTTTGCCAGATTTATCAATAATGTTCCCAGAGCCAAGTTTATTACCAGACATATTAAGAAAAAAATGACACTATGTTCATATTTCATTACTTAACCAACATTGGTAAGCTTCAGGAAGTTTGAAGGTGAATATCCTTCCTTCATGGTGATATAAAATTCCAAACTCACATAGGCTATTATTACACTGTTCACAGTTAAAACAAAAGTTGTAATGCGTTCCATGTATGTACCCACAGCAGTTAAACAGTTAATCATAATTAGGTGATGTAAAAAGGTATTAAAAGTGTAGTCATGTTTACATGAAGACAATAACAGATACACACACACACACCATTTTCTGCCCAGATCATGTATATAAATATCAGAGTGAAATAGGACAATTATTATTAACAGTATAATTTTTAACATTGATTTGAGAATGTCTGACAGGAAAAACAAATTGAACTTATTGCCAATGTGTGTTTCTCTGCATGTTTTTCTTACTGAAATATTAATCTATTACTCTTTCTAAAATCAAACTGTTTGTTATGCATTTTTAACAATGACTTTTATATTATGTTGCTTAGCAACAAAAGTATAACATAATATTGTTGTTAGTCTATGAGAACCAGACACTGAAACAGAAAAAAATATTTGTTGATTTCTTAATTTAGTATATCTGTTGATATATGTGATAACTAGTTTTGCCCAACCTGCCAAAAACGTGACAGGTATGAATTTTGTAAAACACCCCTGGTCAAGTATTTAAAGTACGCAATAAAAAGGTCTAACATTAAGTCGTAGAATAAAATCATGAGTTTATTTCTTGATTGTATTAAATGTGGTAAAGTTTAGCCCTAACTAAACTAGAGTAAAAAACGTATACAAGTTACATTGGTAATTTATCTCTTTATTGAATATAGACTGTACTTAATAAAAGATGAATGTTAGGCCCAAGAGAAACAGATTTATACATTTCAATGTCTCCAAATAAAATTATTTTGTATTATTTTGAAAGTGAAAGTTTGATACATCAGCTTAATGCTTGACATTCATTTACTTCCTGTTCAGGTAGTTAACTGGAAATAGTGTTAGTGTTGTAATAAAGATAATCATTTGACAGTAAATACTTTGCAGGTTTCTGCTAGTACTACAAGATTTCCAGTGACAAAAAACAACACAGACAATGCCCTTTTAGTTCATAAGTCTTCAGTAGTTAAAAAACAAAACTACAAACAACAATCATTGGTAACACTCAAATATTCTGTACAGTTCTTCTTTCCATTTTATGTTATCAAGTAATATAAAATTACAACATAATCTGAAGCAGTTTTTGCAAAAACATAATGAAGTTTAACAATTCACTCACATGAAGCACAATCATTGGTATTAATTAAACAGTCCCGGCCTTCATAACCCTTAGCACAGTTACACAAGTAAGACCCATTTAAGTTGAGACAAGTAGCTCCATTACGACAGGGAGACGAAATGACACATTCATTAATATCTTCATCACATAGGCGACCTAAAGGACAAGAAAAAACTGGCATGAAAGAATTAAGAATAGCTTTACAAAGAAAATTATTACCTTTTCAGTGTTCACGTTATTAACCACAATTTGCTTTTGTCTTTCACAAGGAAATCAACTTATTATTTTCATTAAGACAAATCAGAACATGTTTTTAAAATGATTTTTATTATTTACTCAAACAAAAAATTGTATAAATACTTACCTGTGTACCCAAGTTCACAAGTACAAGCAAAATCAAGATAATTTGATGATGGTGTGCACTTTGCTTCATTTTTACATTTGTTTGGACTACAAGGATCAAGTTCAGTTTCACAACTGGGACCACTATAAGGCACTTCACAGACACATTTATAATCATTAACTAAGTCAATGCATGACCCACTGTTTCGACATGGTTTGGAAGCACAGTCATCAATGTTAATCTCACAGTTTTTTCCTGTATAGCCTGGCACACATGAACATGTGTAAGAAGCAAGCTTATCATGACAGCTGCCTCCATGTTGACAGGGGTTGGACTGACATTCATCAATGTTTAATTCACATCTGTAGCCTCTATATCCTATGTTAGAAAAAGAAAATATTCAATACTTTGCCATTTCTCAATTGGAAAGATCAATACATAACTTTTTAAACAGATAAAACTGAATACATTAAAAACATCATTTCAATTTATGGAAAACTACCATTAACCATTTACAAAAAAAGAGAGAAATATATATAATATAAAATAAAGAATAATATATATACAGAACTACACAAAATTACTGCAATTTTTCTTTGAACAATTTTAAGTTTTATTTCTAAAAGCTTAAATGTTCTTTGAAATTTCCCATAACACACATAGAGTGGGTTTCTAGTGTTCTACAACAAGTATATTTTTAATAATATCCAAAATACATCAATATATTTCTTTCCTCTACATATTTAAAACTATGAGTCAACAGAGCAAAACAAAAACAAATTCATTTCAGAAACTCTGAAATTACTTATTCAGATCAGTTTTCTAAAAATTAAATTTAGCAATGTCTTTTTTTGTCAACAAAATTAAAATTCTATCTTATGCATAAATGCAGAGAATTACTTATTTAATTTGAGCTTATTTTACATTTTTGTGTATGAAAATTTATATATACATACATACATACATACATATATATATATTTACACATCAATGGTTGAATGTCCTATTTTATTACAAAAAAAACATAGAACATCACTAAAAGTACCTTTTTGGCAGTGACAAATAAACTTGTTAACCTCATCCTCACACGTCCCTCCATTCAAACATGGGTTACTCTCACATTCATTAACATCAGAAAGGCATCGAGCATCATAATATCCCCGTGGACAATCACATTTGAAACCATTAGTAAGATCTGTGCATATTCCACCATTAGCACATGGGTTACTAGCACATTCATCAATATTGGTTTCACAGTGTATTCCTAAAAGAAGATTTTTTTTCACATGAAACAACTGATGTGGTATCTTGATATTATCAAGCTATTAATTTCGTTTTACAAATAGTCATCTTTAATGTGAATAAACGTATAAAAGGTTTTTCAACCTTCCATTCTTGGTGGTATAAAATAACTCCTAGACTAAATTACTTACAAAAAATCTACCTACTCACAGCACTCAAATTAGAGACGTATAGATTCTTACACACATTTATAATGGCTGGAGACGGCTTGAATGGGTAATGAAGAAAAACTTTAATATAAGTTTAACATAACAGCAAATG